GCTATCAATATGCGGGTATTGAAATCGCTTTTGAATGTGTGCTCGCTGTTCACTTTCGTGTTCACGCACATTCGGTGTAAAGGAGCACATCTAATCTTACAAGATCAGATACGTCAGTGAGTTCAGGATCTGTTGAGCAGCAAATCCTCCAGCATGATCTGTCAGTCATCTCTCCTACTCTCCACCCGTGATCAGTCAAGCTCGTGTTGGAGGCAGGGTTGCAAAGTCCGCGGTTTTTCCACGAAATCGGCCTACTTTTATTAAACTGATGCACTGGGTTGATTTTTCCCCCGTGGGTAAACACATATGTATACGGCAGCGCGGACCGTTTATCAGCTCGGACCGCGACGCAAACAAACTCGTCTGAGCTCAGAACAGCTTTACTCGGGAGCCAAAGCTGATTTTGCGACACTGTAACTGCACAGATGCACAGTGCTGCGAGATCCAGTGAGAAGCCTTTGAATTAGCCTCACAATGAGAAGGTTGCTGCAAGATCTATTGAGAATCATTCAAATTCTGCACAGAATTGTGTTATAAACAGCGCTGACACACGTCAGGAAACCAGAAGCGGTAACGCTAACTGTAACCGTGGTTGTGGTAGAAATAGTTGAATGCATTGCATCGTTTATTTCAGGGTTTGTACAACCTTTTGAGAGAGAAATTCAAGCACTTTTCAATGACTTTCAAGCATTTCACACAGCCATTTCCAGCACTTTAAAGCTCTAAAATGATCCAGTTTGAATGTTATTTTTAATGGGATGACCAAAACATACTTTGTGGTAAACAAACACTTTTGTAAAATAAAAAAAATACATAAAATCACAATTATAACCAGTAGACGGACAGCAGACACTCTAAAAAATGCTGGGTTGTTTCAACCAACTTTGGGTCAAATATGCACTAACCCTACCGTTGGGTTAAATTTTACATTACATTTTTAACCCAAAAGCAGGGTTAGTCCACATTTGACCCAAAGTTGGTTGAAACAACCCAGCATTTTTTAGAGTGGAGGAGCACTTATTGGCTTATTAGTCATTCATTTCTACTTTTTTCTCCTATATTTTGAAATGATAAAATCACTATTATAAAATATCAAATCATCAACAAATCAGATTGTCCGATTTTTAAACTTTTTTGTGCATGAAGTAAGAAAAGTCACAAAGTGCCTTGAAAAACAAACTTTTCTTCAATTTGCTACTAAATCACACAATCAGTGAAGTTGGTCACTCCCATATACTAGACGAATAATGGCACATTTAATAGGAGTGGAATATATACATTTTCCATATAAAAATTAGATTTTGCACTTGTTACTGTTGTTAATAAAAGTACATTCTGTATGCATCTTAACTCAAGTTTAGTGCTTTACTGTCAAATCTGTATAAACAATAAACAAAAGAAAAATAAACAAGAATTGAACATGTAATATTATTAGTGACTGCACTTATTAATGCAAACCAGTAGTTTATCAATGGTAAATGATCTATATTTCAGTACTCCCGCACACCACCCCAGCGCCACGGTCTGCAGAACTAATGGCGCAGGAGCCACTGCTCTCAAACGTTAGTCTGGGGCCCTGCAAAGGCCCTCCTTCACAAAACATTTAGCACAGTTTTATTACAGGTAGAATGCTAAATGTTTGAGAAAGTATTTCAGTCAAATGTAATTCATGCAATATTTCAAACCTTTAACCCAAAAATCAAGCCATGGCAACAGTTTAAAAGCAGCCCAATTCTGTGGAAAAAACAACCCTGCATCCAACACGAGCTGCAGCAGTCAGATCTGACTGATCACGGGTCAGAAGAAGTGGTCGACCGATACATCACCAAGACCGATATATCGCCCGATATTTGGCATTTTTAAAATATCGCATCGGCCGATAAGTTTTTCTGTTTGGC